TGCGTCGTTTCATATTTTTTTCCACAATTATTTCCGACAGATGTCCGATTTTTTTCCCTTCTTTAAATGCCTTGATGATTATATATGCGCTAGCAAATGAATGAAATCCGAGAGTGAATGAGAGAGAGAGAGAGAGGGAAAAGTATGTTGAGCCGTGTTAGCGTAATTTGAAAATGACATTGACCACTGTTATCAACATATGAACATCGAAATAATGTGTGTTCCATTTGATTTGCATGCACATCAGTCAATAATAATACATGTCTTAAATTGCGGTACGTTGTTTCGTCGCTTGCTCTCATTCTCTGCATACTCCACTTTACGTGTCACACACACTCAGACACACACACTGACACTCACTGTGACTGAACCATCTTCATCCATCTCGACAATCAAAGAAATGCATTGAAACAAATGTAGAAGAAAAAAACATCAGTGGAAGAAAAAAGTGCAAATGAAAAGAGAGGATACGAATGAATGCCATATCCAAATGATATGATGTATCTGCACAAAAACTGTGTATATTTGCGATTTCGATTTTTTTTCTCACTGCTGTTGCAGTTTGATTTCGTTTCATTCTGTTCTTGGTTCAGGCAAAAGCCAAAGATTTCGTGTTCAGGTTGGTTTTTTGTGTCTACCCGGGTGGACGACGAAGTGTTATTTGCATTGACCGTTAGTCAGTTTTGGGTGAAGAGACGAGATAAATGAGAACACCTCAATCGGTCGAGAGCCGTGCTTCACTCATGCACAGATTTACATTGTTTCGACCAGGAACTGGCATATGTGAGAGTTTGGATTTTCGCTTAGCCTGGATTTCAAGCGATATTGATTGTCTCAAATTCGTCATCCATGAGATACACATTTTTTTTTCTCTTTGCGGTGCAAGTTGTTGTTGTTTTCTTAGCGAGCCGAAGTTTGATTTCTACTCGCCAAAATGAATAGCTTGATGACCGACACCGACACTCATATGGGAGATCAGTCAAGCGGCGTTTCATCAATGACACCAAATTTGCACAGATAATTTTCAACACGAAGCATTCAACATGTTTCACATAAATAAAAGAGCACCCACAGCAATAATCATACATGAATCAAGAACGAGCACTGGATGCTATTTTTCTTTATCGCTTTCTTGGTTGTGCTCGATGCAGCAACTCCAAAATTCCATCGACGGTGAAACACACACACACACACACACCGACAACCAACACGAGAAGTGAAAAAAAACGGCGCAGTGTTGCTGTTTTTCGGTCTCATTCGCTCTCTTCCACATTTTTCGTTGGTTTGTTCATAGTTTCTGATTTTATGTATATGAGTATTGAGAGAGAGTCTAGATAGTCGGTGCATGAGTGATTTTGGTTGTGGTTGTTACTATTTTTCTTTCTCTTTCTCTCTCTCTCTCTCTCTCTCTCTCTCTCTCTCTCTCTCTCTTGCTCAGTCTTTATCTTCGTTTGCTCGCTTTATTGGCAGTGTTGCCCTGTAATTATATGTTGAATTGGCGAAATAAAACAAAAATGATACACCTAAAGGGTAATAATCATATGATACCAAACTGAGAAATAACAAATCCGTGAGCCATCCGAAGCAATACAACATGAACGGAACGAAACGAAATGGATAAGAGGAGAAAAAATATTGCAGTACACATATCGAATGCATACACACACTAAACAGAACGCAGAGAGCAGAAAACAACGCAAGGTTTTCAAAGATGTATAGCATTGAATGCAATCAAACGGGAACCGGCACTAACAATGATACCAGAAACAACAAAATCCACCAGCAACAACAACAATAACAACAACAAAACTGCAGCAGATAAAAAAACACACAGAAAAATATGATGCAGAAAATCACCTCACACGAAAGAGTGTGTGCGCGCGCACGAACAAAATTGCACTCCAAAGAGAAAGAATCAGTAGATAAGACACAAGCTTTACAGTCTTGTTTGATATTTCGACTTTTTAATATCATTCGTTTTCATTTCTTTTTGTGAGTTGTTACACTGCACTGTTGTTGTTGTTGTTGTTGGTGCTCTTCTTCTTCTTCGCTCTGTGTGTTTTTTTTTATTATTGCTGCAGTTGCATTTGCCGCCGTCGAAGTTCTTGTGGTTGTCGGTGCTGGCGTTTCTGCTACACTCTTCAGTTCGGGGCTCATTTATGATTTTTTCGCTCTCTATCCCTCACGCTCCTCTCTTGTGCTACTTCGTTGCATTTTTTTTCAACCTTTGTGATTACCTTTTTTATTATTGATTCATTTAAAAATGCATATAAAGTTGATATTCTGCCTGAAGTCTCCGCCAAGAAAGTTAAAATAATATTATGCACTTTTATTGTGCAATTCGATGTGTGTGCGCGATTTGTTTTGTGTTTTTGTATTTTTTTTTGCTTGCTTGCTTGTCTCTCTGCCGCTGTTCGCCTTTGCATCACAATTTTTCAGTCTCTCTCTAAATGCTCAAATAAAAATGAGAAAAGAAACACATACGTATCCGGTTCCACAAAGACAATCACTTGTTGTTTGGTGCGTGTGCATTGGTCTGTTGTTACTGCTGTTGCAGTTGTATTGCCTCTTCTCGGGGTTTGAATAAATTTTTCATTTATTATCCCATCTTAAAACATTTTTATGACTAAATGCTGCATAAATCGATGAAAAAAGCGATCAGAAATTCTGGTTAGAACAAAAAAAAAATCCTCTTCAACTGGCAAAAAACGAGAACTCGTGTTATTTTTCGTCGTTTTGCACTCAAAAAAAGAAAAAACACACCAACAATAAAAAAGGAAATCCATCGAGAGAATATCGAAATGTACGATTTATCGAATCGCATCACTAAAATGAGCGCACAACGACAACGATGCTCCAAAGAATCCCGATTGTGCCCCCCACACACACACACAGCTTTCGAAAAGTTCGTTAATCGCCAAAAGCACTATGAAACAAAGTCAGGTTTAAATTGCATATTCCTAAGCCTATATATACCTTGGCCCGTTTTTTGCTACTGTTTAATAATGTGTTTTGCTTCAAAATGAATGGCACGGAATGATATTAAAAAAACAGGAAAAAAAACCATACACACAACAAATGATATTCCATGTTGCATTGTGATTTTGATGTGATTTGATTTTAAAACCGAGTGATCGTGTTCGTAGTTCGATCACTCGTCGAACTAGAGAGACGCTCATTCTCGCTTGCATACTGTAGAAAAATATTCGCGCTTTTGACATTCAGAAGGCAAGAAATAAACAACAGCAACCGAATAACGACAGAGGAAATTTCAAGGTATTAAGCTACTGTTTTAGCGGCAGCGGCTAAATAACGGGAAGTGTCGGATGCCAAATAACACAAGGTGAATATGGATTTCAAACTATAACGAGCAATGATGAAATCCATCGTTCGTGTAAGAACATTCACATCATAACATGATGATTTGTGAGAAAGACAGAGAGAAGACAAACGGCCCCGAATTAAAAAAATACACACAAAACAATCACAAAAAAAACTGAGTGATTCGCCTTTTGTTGTGAAGTGATCTGTATCATTGTGATTGAATGTGTTTGCAAATCTTCCGCTCTCTCTCTCACTCTGCCGGAAAGGATATAATGACACGGTACAATGCAAAGACGATGCTCGTTTGCATCGGTCTAAATGCCGTTATTTTAAAGTCGCACGTCTTCGCCTCTTCCCAAGCCTAATAATTTGTCCGATGGTTTTTTCTCTCTCATTGAAATAAAATTCCTCTAATCACATCATGTTTTTTCCCTCGAAAAACCCGAAAAGGACAAGACACACAAGAATGGAGTCTATTTTTGCATTGACATACACACAACAAGGGAGAGAGAGAGAGAGAGAGTGAGAGAAAAGGCAGATTTGGGAAATTCATATTAAGATCGGAATAATTTCCTTGAATTCAGAAGGTTTTCGCGTAAATAATGATTGCGTTTGAGATTTAGAGAGTGAGTGATTCAATCTAATTTCGATGTGCATTTTTGGCTAGACGACTGTTTTGTCTTCTGCCACGTTTTTGTTCTCTCTCTCTCTCTCTCTCTCTCTCTCTCTCTCTCTCTCTCTATCTCTCTCTCTCTCTCTCTCTCTCTCGAAAGACAAAAAAACCCGAATGTTTTCATCATTACCAGAGAGCACATGCAAGCGCCGCGGCACGCAGACAAAACGGATGGCACAAGGGGCCAACAGAACAGAGTACACCGAGTAAAAACCTAGCACCCATGATATGAACTCAAGCTGAAGACGCACAAACGGAATAATGAATAAGAATATTTATTTTTAATGACATGCCTTGTTTTCGTTTCGGCGTGCCGTTCAGTTGTTTTTTGTTTGTTTCGTTTTCGCTCTGTTTGTTTGTTGTCCTGAAATTTCTTTGGTGCTTGTCTCCCAATGCGCCTGAAATGTTTACGTACATGAATCGTACATGAATCGAACCGAGGCAAATGAAAACGACGAATAAAAAAAAAAACATCAAGCACAGTCTATCCGAGTGAATGCAAAATCTAATAAGCTCACGTCGCTGAATTGAAAAAAAAGAGAGAATAAAATATTGGTCGTGTGCGTGTGTATGAATTGTAGATGCAGATGATGCGTATTTATTTATAAGCAATTTCGAACATAAATCAAATTATGCGGCGTTCACACAAAATGTGCACATTGCACACAAATCATGTTCATGACACAATTATGTCTGAACGACATTTCATCTATTTCGAAATAGGCGATATTTATATTCCCTTTCGTCGTTCACCTCATCAGTTGATTCGGCGTGCGCCTTGCGCCTCGCGCGAATTGGAAGTCGTTCTCCAATCTCTTTTTTTCGCAGTGCATTGCATTGCGATCAAGGCAAAAGATTAAAAAAAAAATTAAATAAAGCGTGCATGCGCTGTACGTGTGAGTGTGTATGCGCTTTTGAATTTTCTTTCTTTCTATTTTCATTAGATTTACCAAATTGATCTAAATTTACCATAAATAATTACGATTTTATTGTTTATTTACAGCAGCAGAGCGCAAGATTTCTGGGTCCATCGCGAGAACGAAGTCCCACATTGCCCGGTTCGTTGGCTGGACAATGTGCTGCAGCTAATAACAATCACCCGTTACATCGACCGTGCGCGTCATGCTCAACCGACCTGTGCGAACATCATGCGACCAAAACATTCGGTCCCAGTCCCATATTCAATGAATCTTGTCGAAGGTAATTTAGCCAAATTTTCGCTTTTTTTCGCTCTCTGTTTTTCATTGCGTCGGTTCGTTTCCTTCTTTCACATTTTTTTTTTCATTCGTTGTGGTTCACATTGTGAAATCATCGTTGAAATGATTTGCAACGACTATCATCGTACGGTAAGCCGGCTTACAGTCGATATACTTTTTGAGCCGAAACAAACCTAAGAAATAGAGAGAGAGAGAGAGAGAGAGAGAGAAAGAGAAAAAAAACCAGCAGAACCGAAATGAACTCTTTCAAGTTGGTGCTCATCTCACGCGCGTTCGCACACAGTCATTGCAATAAAATTTAATTAGCTTAAATTCGGTGCGGTTTTGGTAGATTAGCAATGCAAAAGTAACGAATCGAGTGAAACAGTACGGCAATGACTGTGTTACAATTTAATCCATTCCGTCTATCAACACCTCATTTCAGTGCCTACTTTCATCTGTGTAGAGAAATGCAAAATTTGCTGAAAAATTAACATCAATCACGTCTCAAGCGATTACACGCATTGTAATTAATGAGCAATAACTTTTGTTCAATTTGTCGCATGCACGTAATTTATTCGTACTCGCTTGAAAATATGGACACGCTGTCAAAATATGCGCTGATTTTTGTCTTTTCCCTCGTTTTTTTATCTCAAATCCTTGATTGAATTAGTTACGAAACAACGGATCGATCCATATTTGATGAATCAGGCATCGGATTCACAGACTCGCACATTGACAATCGGATAGAATGCACGGAGCTGGTGAATAGCGGGAAAACGTATGTTCAAATGAAATCGGAACCAGGCGGCGGTGCCAGCAGCCCCGAATCGTCCGCAGAAACCGGCGGTGGACCCGACGATTGTGCTGGATGCGGCCGTTTGATACAGGTACTAATCACTATTCGTTTTTGTCTTAGCGAATTGATTAACATTTCTTTTTGGCGTAACGCTATTTCTGTCTATTTATACATATTATGACGTCAATGCCATTCAATGCGTATCGACTCAACTGATTCCAATCAACAGTCAATTTCATTCTCACGTCTTTTTTTCTTTCTCTCCCCTTTTTCCTTTGTTTTTTTTTTTTTAACGCAATTAGGATCGATTTTATCTATCAGCTGTTGAGAAACGATGGCATGCTGCATGCCTTCAGTGTAATGTATGCCAGCAACTTCTTGAAGGTGAAACGTCATGTTTTTCACGTGGTGGAAATATTTATTGCAAATCGGACTACTACAGGTATGAATTGTAGCCAATTGTATGTAAAATTAATTCCATTTCATTGTTCGATTTTGGTCATGTAGCAAGCCTACTTGTCGCTCAAGATTAAGACAGGTATACAAAAGCAAAAAAAAGGTACAAATATCACACTATCAACAACAAAAATAACAAAACGACAGAAAAGAAAGAACAACAACAGAATGGAGAAAAAACAACAACAAGAATAAACATAACGCGAATCGAGTACGCGCGCAAAGAGATAAAAATCTCCTACCGCAATTGATATGCGTACAGTCAAATGGTGTCAATCTAATTAACTTATAGCAAAGTTCAATGTGCACGAAAAATGTGTGCAAAAGAAAAACCGAAGCAAGGAAAATTCTACATGCACTTGTTCATGCAACCAGCTGCGAGATTCATATCGAACGAACCACAACGAACGTATGAACGGTCGAACGAACGAACGAACGAACGAACGAACAAAAAAAATGGCAATCCAATAATAGGCAGCAAGAAATAGATACAAAAATCATGGAGCGCGATGTAATCGCTGCCGATCGGATCGCGTATGTTAAACAAATTATATGCAGCACATAGAGATTAAGAGCGATTCGAGGCAGTGTAATCGAGAAAAAATCACTTTTATGAGAGTGTCGAGTGTGTTATATAAAATCTAGCAATCGTATGCTTGATTCTACAGCGAGATAAGGTAATGCAGAGATCGAATGCGGTCTTTTATGTGAGTGTGTGCGCGAGCGAGCGCAAGTAGAGACTTACAGAGAGAAAAGGAATAGAAAAAATGCACACACTTAAACACACACCGAGCACAGAAACCAATTCATTTAACATAAGCATTCAAAAGATATCGACGACATTGCCGTGTCGATTTGTCTATTTATCGCTTTTGGTCTCTCTCTCTCTCTCCCTCTCTCGTCTTTTTTTTTTATGCAATAGTGCACGTAAAACATGCATAAAATGGAACGATAAATAGATAGATCTCAGAAAGTCAGCACCAAAACCCAATGCAAAATAGATGCACACTGAACTCATTTCAACACCAGCACGCCTGCCTGAATGCCTGCTACGAAAAATGACAGAATAACTCCAAGAGAAACGATGGCGACGACGACAAAACACATACTCAAATCCGAATTCACGCTGAAGATACGGGAAAATGTTCAACCTGCAAAAGTGATCGTGTTAAAATGGATACGTGTGCCTCTTTTTCTTCTTCTTCTTCTTCTTCTTCGATAGTAGTTGTTGTGCTGTTTCATTGCATGTACATTGTACAAACACACCAAATAATCATCAGCACAAGTGTATGTTGAACACGACATGGCACTTCAAGTCGAAAAACGAATATCACTGCTTGGAACGAACGAAAAACCATCCTAAGCATATGCTGGTTTTCGCCCATTTCACTCTTCTATCTCGCATCATCTCTCGTCCGGTTCACCGCTGCGATGTGACAGACAGAGCTGTTGTTGTTGCCGGGCTGCACAGTGCACAACTGCACATACATGTGAGCTGTGTTGCTCACGGTTTCCGCAATTTATCACTTGATACTACATTTTGGTCGTGTTGGAGTAGTCGAGCTTTGTACACAATGTCTTCCACAGCATGTGCAATGGTTGTTATTTTTGTTTTTCGGTTGCAAAGCAAAAAGAACAGAAAGAAAGAAAGGGAAAAAAAATCAATGCACCTGTCTTGAGGACACTTCGAGCGTGTTTCCAGTCAATCGTAAAAATTATTGATCCCTCGCCTGCATTTCAACGTATTTCACCATTCATTTCTCATTCGGAATTTATCGTTTGAAATGAAATCAAAGGATTTTTGTTTTTACTTCTCGTGTAATTGCCTTTGACGCATATGCACTGCACTGCACCACATAAATTACCGTTGCGAAATCAAACGCTGTCACATTTCACCATAATTATACAATATTTTGTCGTACACTTTTCGTCGGGGGGCTAACGAATTTCGTCGTCGACGACGTCGCAAATAGTACGTTGCAGTGGAAACACCATCGAATTTGTGCTCGTTTGTACTCAATAATTCAACAAAATCGAACAACAATACACGATGCAAAACTGCAATTGATCGACAACAAATGGAACAAAACGTATCAAATTGAAAAAGTATCTATTCCCTGGCTTTCACATTTATCTGATATAATTATGTAAATTTGATATAATTGCGACTAATTTGTTTTTATCTGCGTTTGATTTATTAAACGCTATTTGGAATGGTGAGCGTGCACCCGCGCAAAAGAATCGAGTTTTTTCTTCCTTTCGAAATGGCGGTTTGTTTTGTTTTTTTGCGATAAATGCGACCGGCATTCATCATTAATAGATATTTAATTTGGGTTGATTGCCGATAGCTAGATTGCCGCGTTTGGAATGCATTTCAGCAAATAAACGATTAAGTATATAGGTAGTTTATCAAATAAAATATGCTACTGTGAGTACTTTGCAGCCGCTAATCGCAGTAAATAGAGAAAAAAACAACAAAGAAAGGCGCACATTTCTAACCCAAAGCAAAAATGCACGTTGAAGCTTGTTAAAGTTCTTGAAAATTCAGAGAATAAAATAATGGAAATGGATGAAAATATTTGCGTGCATTTGTTCTGCGAAATGAAAATCGTTTCTCTGGTGTGCGCTGATTGTTTTGTTGTTGCCGTTGTGCGAATTACATTTTTATTACAAATAAATCACCTTTTTGTGATTAGTTGTGCGTTCAAGGTATGGTTCGGTTGTAATTAATCTTGGCGATAGAGTGTGTCGCTCATAGTTTTTTCTGTTTATATTCTGTTGCGCACTTCTTTCGTGTACTGCAGTAGATGCCGGCGAATATTTCGTGTGCACGCTCGTTGTGTGCGTTTGGTTGTTGTTTTTTTTTTGTAAATCGTTTTGCGCGCGTGTGGCGCAACCAACGATTGTTCATCGTCTCGACACACAATCTGATGGAATCTATCCATATCATCAAACAGTGACTCGAAAAAAAAAAAGTTCGAAATGAAATGTGCGAAAATCATGACCAAAGCGTGTTGAAGAATATTTCAAGGTAGACTTCGAACGACGCAATATTGAAGAGAGTGAAAAGAAGAAAAAAAATTGTGAACGCTATACAATTCTGAGAATCGCGCTACCACTTTGATCACTTTACCGGAAAATAATTGAATCGAAATGCGTATTCAATGCACACACAAAAAAAAGCAACAACAGCAACAGAGTGTGCACAATGAAAAGCAGATCACAAGCAAACAACACACAAGAACATCACATCGGCGCAACAAATAAACGAACGCACATCTTTCTCTTCTGCCTACATCGCTTTTCTGTGTGCTTTTCATTTTTCAATATGAAGAGAGCTATAACTGAAACAATGAGATGATTGGTTGGTGCTGCTCACTTTGGAAATTATTGCATAACCTTCATTTTAATTCGAAAACGAATTGTTTCGACGTGTATCTTTCCCTCTCTATCTTTTTCGCCCTCCCGCTCCTTTTTTCGCGCTCTATCTAGCGTATGTTGTTTGAAGCGCGCACTTTGCCGCGATATTATCATGATTGAGTGCATTTTAAATGAGAAAATATTTTGCTACTTGCCAGTTTTAATTATGTTTATCATAATAAATTTCATTTTCACTAATTGATAACAAAATAACATGAATTATGTATGACGCTGTGTTTTTTCTTTCTTTCTTTCTTTCTGCATTCGATGTAATGCAAAAAGCTTGATCAAAATGGAACTTTGATGGAACAACAACAATAACGATGGAGAAAAAAAAACACAGAATTGATGTTCGTTCATTTGAAACAAGGTGGAAATATATTTTGTACACTCGTTGGAATATGACGTTTTGTTCCGGTTACATCGTTTCCAAATGGAGCCTTGACAGGCTATCATTTCATGTGGAATTCAAAAGGACCATTTTTCCGTTATGGAAAAATTCATTTTCCAACACACAAACTTAAATTGGCTCCCTCCGATCCAAGAACAGGCACAAAAGAAAAAAAGAGCAAAGATGGGAAACAAATCAAAAACTCCGAAAATAAGTTGAAACATCACTTTTTTTCGTTGTACGTTCCACATTTTTTCTTCGGTTGTGAAAGCAATAAATTATATCGTTATATTTCGTCTTAAATCAGGAACATTTCAAACGACGACGTCGTCGTCGCGAGTGCACAACTAAAATTTGTGCATTCTGAACAGAAAAAAAAGTACTCGAATTTTTTTTTCTGCTTCATAAAAGCATAAAAAAAAATTTGTGTGCCATTGATGCAATGTAAATAGTAGTGTAGGGAATTTGTGCTTGTGTTTATGTGCAGAGATGAATGAATTTAAATCGTGGCAAATGAATGGGCAATTGCGTTTGTTCTTGGTGTATGCGTGTGAAGTGTGCATGGCAGTTCGAGCAGCTCAAAACTTGCCTGCCCTCCCTCTCTCTCTCTCGCTCTCTTTCACTCCGACTCCGAGTCTCTCTTCTCGGTGTCCAAATGTGTGAGCGCGAGTGTATCGCGTTGTTGGCTGTTTCTCTTTTCCATTAACCTTCTGTATATGTGCCAACAACGATACAGAATAAAAAATTACACCAATTACTACTTCCGTTTAGACTAATTAGGAGGAGAAGAGGAAAAAAAAACGCAAAGCATACACACACTCACCGGGAGTGAAGAGATATTCCAAGTCAAGCACACACAGCGTCAGCGCCTTATTCTAATCGGTGGAAGAGAGCACAATGTCGTTTTTATCTTTTTTTCACAAGTTTTGTGTGATTGAATCTTTTCTGTTTCTTTGGCTTTTATCGCACGACTCTCTGAAAATTGTTCCAAACGATGACGACGAAGACGGTGGCGGTGGCGGCAACGAAAGAAGATGCATCGCCGGAACGTAATAAAAACCAAAGATTACAAGAAAAAAAAACTAAGCGTGATGCGACTGTGGCTCTCGCCAAGTCGGCAGTAAAGTCACACATTTGAATTCAACATTTCTTCAAGGTATTTGAAAATGTGAGCG